CATCCCTGGGGCTCGCAGCATCCCTGGGACTTGCAGCATCCCTGGATCCCACTGTTAGAGCATCCCCAGAGCTCACAGCATCCCTAGGTCTGGGTGATTTAGTTTCCTATCCCTGGGGCTCGTACCATTCCCACTCCAGGTGCTGGGACATCCTTGAGCTTTACAGCATTCCTGGGTCCCAATCCCATCCCTAATGTGACCCTAATGGATCCCCATTAGTTCCCCATCCCTGGTGCTTGCAGCATCCCTGGATCCCACTGTTAGGGCATCCCCAGAACTCACAGCATCCCTGGTCCTATTGACCACCCCGGCACCTCCCAGCATCCCCGTATCCCACTGCTTTAATTCACCATCCCCACACCTCCCAGCATCCCTGATCCCAGTTCTTCACCCCCTTCCCAGGACTTCCAGCATCCCAACCTTGCATCCCTAGCAGCAGCCGCACCGAGGCGCTTGCTGCCGCTTCCCTATCGGCTCCTCCTCCCTCCTTGGGAAGCAAAGGAGGAGGGAGGGGGGGGATGTGGGATGGACCGGGATATGGGGAGGCGTCAATGGGGACCACATCCTGCCCTCTTTAGCCTCCCCTTTGCCCTGGCTCCCATCGCCCAGCCATGCTGCGCTGCTTGCTCCAACGTGCCACCCATCTCCCCAACTTGGAGAAAGGGGACAAGCAAAGCGATCCCATAGCCAGCTTGACATTCCGAGGTGAGGAGATCCCAGATGTGGGTTGGGATGGGCAGGAATAGGGTTTTGGAAGGGGTTTGGCTGTTTCCATTCCCAGCAAAGCCTGGGTTCTGTGGGGCGTCCAGCCGGACGCCCCACAGAACCCAAGCTTTGCTAAGCTCCATCCTTACCCTAAATCCATCCAAAATCCTTTCATAGGATCATGGAATGGGTTGGGTTTGAAGGGACCTTAAAGCTCACCCAGTCAGGGACCCCTTCCACTGGAGCAGCTTGCTCCAAGCCCCTGTGTCCAACCTGGCCTTGAGCACTGCCAGGGATGGGGCAATGCTTTCCTGGTGGTGGGAAATGGCCATTTTTAGCCCAAGGGATAAAAAGAAGGGAAGGAAAGGGATGAGTGGTTCCTGACCGGGCTTTTCCTGTGCTGTGGGGTGTGGGAATGGTGCTGCTGCAGCACTGGGATCTCTTGTGGGGCCATCCTGCTGGGGTGCTGGGTGCTTTCCCAGGGTGGCTCCCTCTCTCCCTTCATCCATCCCTTCATCCATCCCTTCATCCATCCATCCATCCGTCATCCATCCATCCATCTATCCATCCATCCATCCATCCTTCCACCTCTCCCACTATTCCTCCATCTTCTCCATCCATCTATACATCCATCTGTCCATCCATCCATCCATTCTTTCACCTGTCCCACTATCCCTCCATCTTCTCTATCCATTTATACATTCCTCCCTCCCTCCCTGCCTCCCTACCTCCCTCCCTTCATCCATCCCACTATCCCACTATCCCTCCATCTTCTCCATCCATCCATCCATCCATCCATCCATCCCACTATCCCTCCATCTTCTCCATCCATCTACCCATCCATCCATCCATCCATCCATCCATCCATCCATCCATCCATCCATCCCACTATCCATCCATCTTCTCCATCCATCTACCCATCCATCCATCCATCCATGCATCCCACTATCCATCCATCTTCTCCATCCATCTACCCATCCATCCATCCATCCATCCATCCATCCATCCATCCATCCATCCATCTACCCATCCATCCATCCACCCATCCATCCATCCATCCATCCATCCATCCATCCCACTATCCCTCCATCCCACTATCCCTCCATCTTCTCCATCCATCTACCCATCCATCCATCCATCCATCCATCCATCCATCCATCCATCCCACTATCCCTCCATCTACCCATCCATCCACTTACCCATCTTATTCCTCCATCCCTCCTCCATCAGCCTGTCCCTCCATCCATCCCTCCATCCATCCGCAGCCATGGCAGAAAGCATCTCTCATCACCCAAATCACATCCCAAGGGGAATTCCATGGCTCTGCATCCCATGGGATGAGACACAAGCAGGGAGCACACCCTGGACCTGGGGTTGCTGCCCTCAGGCTCAGTGCCTGCTGCGCCCAGGCAATGGCAGCTCTGCCTCTGGCCAGCTCCAGCCCTGCTCCTGCTGCTTCAGCTTGGGAGGTTGGGCCGATTCCTTAAAACTGGAATGGGGAAAGAGGGATTTGGGGATGCTGAAGCGAGCAGAGAGAGGAGGATGCTGTGAGCGGGCAGCTTGGGCTCCTGTCACCCTGGGTGCCATATCCACACCCTGGGGCACCCATATATCCCCTTCTCTATCCCCCTCTATCCATCTCTCTGTATCTGTCATCAGTTGATCATATCTCTTCTCGATCGTGTCTCTCTATGTCCTCTGTATCTCTGTATCATCTCATCTCCCTGCCCCATCCCTGGCAGTGCTCAAGGCCAGGTTGGACACAGGGGCTTGGAGCAAGCTGCTCCAGTGGAAGGGGTCCCTGCCTGTGGTAGGGGTTGGAACTGGAGGAGCTTTAAGGTTCTTTCCAACCTAAACCAATCGGGATTCTGTGATCTCTCACTATGATACAATACAATACGATATCATATCATATCATATATCATATCATATCATATCAATCATCTCTCTATCTCATCTCGCATCCCCATCTCCTCTCCCTGTATCTGTCTCCCTGTCTCCTGCATCCCGCCATGGCCCGGCCTGGCTCCGGCTCTGCTGGCCCTGGGCTCTGAGTCACCGCTATTGTTCACCTCTTCCTCTTCCTCTTCCCCCCTGGTCCCTCCCGTGACGCGGCCCCGGTGGGCTCATGGCCAGAGCTCGCTGTGACCTGAGGGTCGTGGCTTCGGGCTGCTGCTGGTGGGGGGGTCCTGGGGTTCCCCCAGCACTGCAGGGCCTTGGCTTTGGGCTGCAACCAGGGATGGGGCTGCATCGCCACCACTGCATCCCCGTCCCTGCATCCCCATCCCTGCATCTCCATCGCTGCATCCCCGTCCCTGCATCCCCGTCCCTGCATCCCCATCCCTGCGTCCCCGTCTCTACATCCCCGTCCCTGCATCACCGTCCCTGCATCCCCATCCCTGCGTCCCTGTCCCTGCATCCCTGTCCCTGCATCCCCCTCCCTGCATCCCCATCCCTGCATCCCCCTCCCTGCATCCCCGTCCCTGCATCCCCGTCCCTGCATCCCTGTCCCTGCATCCCCGTCCCTGCATCCCCGTCCCTGCATCCCCGCCCTGCATCCCCATCCTGCACCTCCATCCTGCATCCCCGTCCTGCATCCCCGTCCTGAATCCCCATCCTGCGTCCCCATCCCTGCATCCCATCCTGCATCCCCGTCCTGCATCCCCATCCTGCATCCCCGCCCTGCATCCCCGTCCTGCATCCCCATCCTGCATCCCCGTCCTGCATCCCCGTCCTGCATCCCCGTCCTGCATCCCCATCCTGCATCCCCATCCTGCATCCCCGTCCTGCATCCCCGTCCTGCATCCCCATCCTGCATCCCCATCCTGCATCCCCGTCCCTGCATCCCCGTCCCTGCATCCCCGTCCCTGCATCCCCACCCCTGCATCCCCATCCCTGCATCCCCATCCCTGCATCCCCATCCCTGCATTCCTGTCCTGCATCCCCATCCCTGCATTCCCGTCCTGCATCCCCATCCCGCATCCCCACCCCTGCATCCCCACCCCTGCATCCCCATTCCTGTATCCCTGTCCCTGCATCCCCGTCCCTGCATCCCCACCGCTGCATCCCCATTCCTCCATCCCTATCCCTGCATCCCCATCCGCATCCATTGGGGTGTGCTTTGGCCAGCCCCATGTTGAAGCACCCAACTGATGATCACAGGGGCTCTGGGTCCCCTTTGGGGCTGTACTGAGGTTTGGGTGGAGGGAGGGGGATGTCCGGGTCCCCCATTGCCCCTCCCACCATGGAAACCCACCCTGGAGCATTTGGGGGCCTCTTCTGTGCCCTGCTCATGGGGAAACTGAGGCCTGACCCATTGAGATGCCTTGTCTGGGGGTTTCCAGCAGGGTCCTGGGGCCTGTCTGTGCCCACCACGACCCATCCTATGTTGAGGAGCAGGGCCTGATCCTGCTCCTGGAGCTGCGGATGCCACTGGAGGCTCTCAACCCCTTCCCATGGGGGACGGAGCTCAGCTTTGGGGTCTGAGCCATGCGTGCTGTTCCCTGCAGGGGTCAAGAAGAGGACTAAAGTCATCAAGAACAATGTGAACCCCGTATGGAACGAGGTGAGTGTGTCCCCATCTCCATCCCCATCCCATCCCCATCCCCATAGGGAGCAGCCCCATCCCGGGGGATGCTGTGGGCCATGGTGCAAGCCCAACGATGCGCCCCAAGCCCAAGGGGATGCACCCATGGAGGGTTTGAGGCTGATCCCATTCTGGGCAGCTGGACCAGCAGCAGTGGATGGGATGGAGCCAGCTCCAGCCCTTGGATCTCAAGATGTTATCGGGCCTGGGCACACACACTGGGAGAAGCTGTTTAAACACATCTCAGCTCCATGGGAAACCAGGGTTCTCCCCATCAATCCAGTGAGGGGGGGCTTGTTCCAGCACCTCCTTCCTCCCATCCCTGACCTCTGCTTCCCTGGGGCACAACTGCAGGAAAAGGGGGATTGAGGAGCAAACACTGGGCTCTAACTGGGATGTGCATGGCAGGGCATTGCTCACACTGGGCCCTAACTGGGATGTGCATGGCAGGGCGTTGCTCACACTGGGCTCTAACTGGGATGTGCATGGCGGGGCGTTGCTCACACTGGGGTCTAACTGGGATGTGCATGGCAGGGCATTGCTCACACTGGGCTCTAACTGGGATGTGCATGGCAGGGCATTGCTCACACTGGGCCCTAACTGGGATGTGCATGGCAGGGCATTGCTCACACTGGGCTCTAACTGGGATGTGCATGGCAGGGCGTTGCTCACACTGGGCTCTAACTGGGATGTGCATGGCGGGGCGTTGCTCACACTGGGGTCTAACTGGGATGTGCATGGCAGGGCATTGCTCACACTGGGCTCTAACTGGGATGTGCATGGCAGGGCGTTGCTCACACTGGGCTCTAACTGGGATGTGCATGGCAGGGCATTGCTCACACTGGCTTTAACTGGGATGTGCATGGCAGGGCATTGCTCACACTGGGCTCTAACTGGGATGTGCATGGCAGGGCATTGCTCACACTGGGCTCTAACTGGGATGTGCATGGCAGGACATTGCTCACACTGGGCTCTAACTGGGATGTGCATGGCAGGGCATTGCTCACACTGGGCTCTAACTGGGATGTGCATGGCATGTGCATGGCAGGGCATTGCTCACACTGGGCTCTAACTGGGATGTGCATGGCAGGGCATTGCTCACACTGGGCTCTAACTGGGATGTGCATGGCAGGGCATTGCTCACACTGGGCTCTAACTGGGATGTGCATGGCAGGGTGTTGCTCACACTGGCTCTAACTGGGATGTGCATGGCAGGGCATTGCTCACACTGGGCTCTAACTGGGATGTGCATGGCAGGGCATTGCTCACACTGGCTTTAACTGGGATGTGCATGGCAGGGTATTGCTCACACTGGGCTCTAACTGGGATGTGCATGGCAGGGCATTGCTCACACTGGGCTCTAACTGGGATGTGCATGGGAGGGCATTGCTCACACTGGGCTCTAACTGGGATGTGCAATGGGCAGGGCATTGCTCACACTGGGCTCTAACTGGGATGTGCATGGCAGGGCATTGCTCACACTGGGCTCTAACTGGGATGTGCATGGCAGGGCGTTGCTTACACTGGGCTCTAACAGGGATGTGCATGGCAGGGCGCTGCTCACACCGGGCTCTAACTGGGATGTGCATGGCAGGGCATTGCTCACACTGGGCTCTAACTGGGATGTGCATGGCAGGGCATTGCTCACACTGGGCTCTAACTGGGATGTGCATGGCAGGGTATTGCTCACACTGGGCTCTAACTGGGATGTGCATGGCAGGGCATTGCTCACACTGGGCTCTAACTGGGATGTGCATAGCAGGGCATTGCTCACGCTGGGCTCCAAGCCCCTGTGTCCAACCTGTCCTGAGCTGGTTTCAGCACTGGAGACGTGGGTTTGGGGCTCCTCACCTCCAAGAGCCCCCCCTGTGGTCCCGGAGCTGCTTGATGCGAGCATCATGGCTCTGCCTGGGCGCTGATCGTGGCTCTTTTCTCCTTCCTCCTTCCAGGGCTTCGAGTGGGACCTGAAGGGAGCTCCCCTGGACCCCGGTGCTGAGCTCAGCATCGTTGTGAAAGACCATGAGACCGTGGGGAGAAACAGGTGGGAGCAGCGTCAAGTGCGGGCTGTGAGCAAGAGGCGATCTGGGAGGGCTGGAGCAGCTCTGCTCTGGAGCCAGGCTGAGAGAGCTGGGCTGGGGCAGCCTGGAGAAGAGAAGGCTCCTGAAGGGGAGACCTTAGAGCAGCTCCAGTGCCTAAAGGGGCTGCGGGAAAGCTGGAGAGGGGCTTGGGACAAGGGATGCAGGGATGGGATGAGGAGTTTGGGATCCAGGCTGGAAGAGGGAAGAGTTGGATGGGATACAGGGAAGTTCTTCCCCATGAGGGTGGTGGGACATGGGAATGGGGTGAAGCTGTGGCTGCCCCATCCCTGCAGTGCTCAAGGCCAGGTTGGACACAGGGGCTTGAAGCAAGCTGCTCCAGTGGAAGGGGTCCCTGGAGCTGGATGGGCTTTAAGCTCCCTTCATCCCCAACCCTTCCATCATCCTCAGAGCCACACAAGGAGGGTTCAGCCTCTTCCCAGTTTCCCTGTGTTCCTTTGCAGCAGTGGAGGCCGGAGCTGCATTCCCAGGCTCCATGGCCAAGGAACACAGGGCAGGAGGGAAAGGAGCACAAGGACCCTTGTGTCCTGTGCCACCACGGGAGCACCAGCACCACGAAGCCCCAGTGATGGGCGCTTGGCTCCGGAGGGGTGAGGCGGCTCCAGGCTCATTCCCAGTGCTGGGAATGGTGGCGTTGGCACAGCAAACAGCTCCTCACGGATACCCCATGGGATCAGACACCCTCCGTGGGGTCCCCATCTTGGTGGTGGTTGCATTGGGAAGGAGACTGGGAGCTGATGGTGATGCCGCGGGGCCTCCATCCCTGTTCCGTGCATTGCTCCTTTGACCGGGATCGCTGCTCCCATAGGGAGGGAAGTGCAGGAAGTGGTTTATTTCGGGCCGGAGGAGGGTGGGATTCGCTGTCCTGCTCCAGTGTGAAGGATCCCATTGCCATGCCTGGAGCTGGCGCTGGGTTCGCTCCTGGGCCGGAAGCCAAAGGAGATGGAATTTGGGGTGATTCCAGCTCGGTGGCGTCGGGAGTGTCTATAAATAGAGAGGAGAGGACGGGAAAAGGGACCGGATCCCAGTGCGGGAGCTTTGAGGGCTCCGTGGGGAGGAGCTGCCCCACTGTGACCCACAGGGACCGGGCCTTGGCCCATTGCTGGCACAAGGATGGGGGAGTTTGGCTTCTCCTTCCCTTGGGAGAAGATCCCACCTAAAGAGGGCAATGAGCAGTGGCTGGTAGTTAATGCCCTGTCTGGCTGCTGCTCCCATTGGGGATCATGGAATGGTTTGGGTCAAAGGGACTTTAAGATCCCATCTCAGTCTCCCCTCGGGCAGGTTCAAGCCATTCCCCTACAGGCCCTTGTCCCAAGCCCCTCTCCAGGTTTCCTGCAGCCCCTTTAGGCACTGGGGCTGCTCTGAGGTCTCCCCTTCAGGAGCCTTCTCTTCTTGGCTCGAACTCTTTGGACAATTCCTTATCCCATAGCGCATCCATCAACCCCTTCCTCTTCCATTCCGGGTCAGGAATGCTGTTGAAGACCCCATGTGAAGAGCATCTGTGCCTCTCCCCTTGCCCACTGCTGCAGTGGATCCATCATAGAAGGCCCCAGCTCCCTGGGGAACCATCCTGCACCCGCTCAGTGCCATAGCCTGCCCAAAGAGAGCATCCTTTGTAACCATAGAGCGTGTCCATCACCCAGAGGTGACGCTGGCTTTAACCAGAGCGTGTCTAGGTGGTGGTACCTCAAACCCTTAGGAGCTGAACCCCAGCCCAGTGCTCCAAAGCCCCATCCCTGCTATGTGAAACCAGTGCTGTTTCTCTCCCAAAGGCACGTTGGGTGTCCCAGTCACCTCCCTGCATTCCCTATGTTCAACGTGTCTTCCAGGGGGATCTGCTCCATGATCCTATCCTGCTGTTAGGGCAGCACTAAGCAGTCTGAGGGCTTTCCAGGCACTGGTCCATGGGGCAGCCACTGGGAAGGGTTTATCCAGAGGCTGAGATGCTGAAACTCCATAAGGGACAATCCGTGGTGTGAAGTGCTCCTGGATGGTGGCACATGGCCATGGAGGTGATCTTCCCACCTCCAGTGCTACCCAACCCCTTGTGTCTTGGTTGTCCCCATCAGCACTTGGCTCTGGGGCCGCTGGTCCCTCAGTGTGGACCTTGAGGAGCATCCCCTTGATGAGGAAGGGATAAAGCCCTGGAGATGCTGGTCCCAGTTGTCTCATCCAGGCTGGGTCTCACCCGGTGCCCATGGGGGCTGCTGGGGGTGTCCCCAGCGCGTCCCTGCCCATGGATGGGGCCCTGGGGCTGGGTTTGATGCTCAGCCCCTGCTGGTCCCCATGCAGGTTCCTGGGGGAGGCCCGGGTGCCCCTGCGGGATGTGCTCAGCTCGCCCAGCCTGGCTGCATCCTACAACCTGCCCCTGCTGGACACCAAGAAACAGGCAACAGGGGTGAGTGCACAACGGCTGCCCAGTGCGCATCCCAGTTAGAGCCCAGTGGGAGCAATGCCCTGCCCAGTGCACAGCCCAGTTAGAGCCCAGTGTGAGCAATGCCCTGCCATGCACAGCCCAGTTAGAGCCCAGTGTGAGCAATGCCCTGCCCAGTGCAGCTCCCAGTTGGATCCCAGTGTGAGCAATGCCCTGCCATGCACATCCCAGTTAGAGCCCAGTGGGAGCAATGCCCTGCCATGCACATGCCATGCACATCCCAGTTAGAGCCCAGTGTGAACAATGCCCTGCCCATTGCACATCCCAGTTAGAGCCCAGTGTGAGCAGTGCCCTGCCCAGTGCACATCCCAGTTAGAGCCCAGTGTGAGCAATGTCCTGCCATGCACAGCCCAGTTAGAGCCCAGTGTGAGCAATGCCCTGCCCAGTGCAGCTCCCAGTTGGATCCCAGTGTGAGCAATGCCCTGCCATGCACATCCCAGTTAGAGCCAGTGTGAGCAATGCCCTGCCCAGTGCAGCTCCCAGTTGGATCCCAGTGTGAGCAATGCCCTGCCCATTGCACATCCCAGTTAGAGCCCAGTGTGAGCAATGCCCTGCCCAGTGCACATCCCAGTTAGAGCCCAGTGTGAGCAATGCCCTGCCCAGTGCAGCTCCCAGTTGGTTCCCAGTGTTCCTCCCACCCCTTTAACGCTGTTTCCTCTCTTCCAGGCTTTCCTTCTCCTGCAGGTCTCCTACATCCCCCCTCCAGGAGCTCCCCCCCTGTTCCCTCCTCCGGCTCCCCCCGAGCCAGCGCCGGCTGCTGCTGAGCCCGACTCGGTCCCTGGTAACCAGAACCCTTCTGTGCTGCCTTGGCTGGGATGAGCCCCATGGACCTCGGCCTTCCCGCTTGGACCCCTCACCCTCTGCTCCCCCTTAGACCCAGCCAGGCTGGGAGAGCCCTTGCAGCTCACCCAGTCCAACCCTTCCCAGCCCTGCCAAGGCCACCCCTAACCCATGGCACTGAGGCCTCGCCTCCACACTGTGTGAACCCTTGCAGGGCCGGTGCCTGCAGCCCTGCCCTGGGCAGCCTGTTCCAATGCCTGAGCACCTCTGGGGCAGGAATTGTTCCTCAGCTCCATCTAACCCTGCCCTGGTGCAGCTTGAGGCCGGTTCCTCTTGTCCCATCCCTTGTTCCTTGGGAGCAGAGCCCAGCCCCTCCTGGCTCCATCCTCCTGTCAGGCAGTTGGAGGCAGCCATCAGATCCCCCCTGAGCCTTCTCTTCTCCATCTGAACCCCCCAGGTCCCTCAGCCCTTCCCCATCACACTTGGGCTCCAGGCCCTGCACCAGCTCCAGTGCCCTTCTCTGGCCCTGCTCCATCCCCTCAATGTCTCTCTTGCAGTGAGGGGCCCAGAACTGAACCCAGGATTCAAGGTGCAGCCTCACCAGTGCCCAGTGCAGGGGCACAACCCCTGCCCTGCCCCTGCTGCTGCACTGGTGCTGGTAGAGGCCATGGTGCTCATCTCCATCAATCACGTTCTCCATCTCCTTCCTCACCCCACTCAGAGACGGCTGGAGAGGAGGAGACAGAGGATCAAGGAGCTACAGGGGATGAGATGGAGCCCTCCTCATCTTTGGGGCCACCCAGCTCTGAGACCCCCTCGCTGCCCCACAAGCCCCCAGTGCACCACGTCCAGGGGGTGAAGAGGAGGAGGAGCTCCCCCAAAAAGCCTTTGTCCAACAAGCCACAGGACTTCCAGGTTGGTTGGGATGAGCTGCTCCTCTTGGACCCCAGCGCATCCTATGCGGGGTTCATCACCTCAGAGGTCCCCATCCCATGCTAGGACCAACCCGGTCACCCTCTGCCCTGTTCTCCCTCTCATCCCAGATCAGGGTGAGGGTCATTGAGGGCAGGCAGCTCCCAGGGGTCAACATCAGGCCCGTGGTGAAGGTGACGGCCGCGGGGCAGACCAAGAGGACGCGGATCCGCAAAGGAAACAGCCCCTTCTTTGATGAGGTGAGGGGGGGACCCTGCTCCGAGCACCAGGAAAGGGTTGGGAATGTCATGGGTTGGGGTCCTGAGTGATGGGAATCCTGGGGAAGTCCAGGGGTTGGGATGTGGCCATGGGGATTGCACAGCCCCTTTGGGAGGATGCTGCTTTTCACGGGCTTGGGTCTCACCTAATGGGAGGGAAGGAGCCTATGGAGCTGGGGGCATGGGATATGCTGGGGCTCACCTTCACTTGCACCCTCGCCCTTCCTTCCTGCAGACCTTCTTCTTCAATGTCTTCGAGTCACCATCCGAGCTGTTTGATGCACCCATCTTCATCACGGTGAGCTCCAGCACCCCTCGGTCCTGCTCTGCATGAGGCTGGGGTAATAGAACCGTAGAGCCATGGGATGGGTTGGGTTGGAAGGGATCCTAAAGCTACTCCAGCTCCAACCCTTGCCATGGGAAGGGACCCCTTGCTCCAAGCCCCTGTGTCCAACCTGAAGCCATCACCCTGTCCCTTTCCCTGCAGCACCCAGGGGATCCCAGCCCCATTCCCCCCTGGGCACGCAGCGGGTGCTCCATCCTGCTGGATTTGGGCTGGATTTGGGCTGGATTCACTGCGTTTCCTCACTTTCACCTGCAGGTCGTGGACTCGCGGTCGTTCCGCACGGATTCGGTGATCGGGGAATTCCGGGTAAGGCCCTGCTGTGCCCTGTGCCCCTGTTCCTCCCTGTCCCACGCTGACCCATGGCTGGACACTGATGTTTCTTCTCTGCTCTATTGCACAGATGGACGTGGAGACCATTTACTCCGAGCCAAGTGAGTCAGATCCAGGCCAGGGTCACCTCCTGCTTTAGGAAGCCTCTTTAGGGGCTAAACATCAGTGCAATGCACACACCCCCAAAGCTCTCCCATACCTGAACCCGGATGGGTCCTTGTATCCATCATCACCACCCATTCCTCCTCCCTTTCCCAAGATGAACATCACTGAGGCTTTCAAGTCATCGTCATTGTGCCACCATCTGGCTGATAGAAAGTCCAATCAGCACAGCCCAGCTCGTTGCATTTTGTCTCAGATCTGGGTCATTATTTTCTCTTTTATCTATCAGTTTCTCTCAGAGAAGGTAAACTGATGCTGATAAAGATCTTCCTGCACTAAGCACTGCAGAGAACGTGGTGATTTTGGCTGTAAAGAGTTAAGAATTGTAAGGCAGATCCCTTGATAACGTGCTTGAGCTTTTGGTCAGCCCCAAAGAGGTCAGGCAGTTGGACTGGATAATCATTGGAGGTCCCTTCCAATTGAAGTCTTTTTTCCCCCTTTCTCCTTCCCCCCTTCTCTTTCCCTCCTTCTCTTTCACCCCCTTTCTTCCCCCTTTCTATTTCCCCTTCTTTCCCCCTTCTCTTTCCCCCTTCTCTTTCCCCCCTTCTCTTTCCCCTTTCTCCTTCCCCTTTCTCCTTCCCCCCTTCTCTTTCCTCCCTTCTCTTTCACCCCTTTTCTTCCCCCCTTTCTATTTCTCCTTCTCTTTCCCCTTCTTTCCCCCTTCTCTTTCCCCCTTCTTTCCCCTTCTCTTTCCCCTTCTCTTTCCCCCTTCTCTTTCCCCCTTCTCTTTCCCCCTTCTCTTTTCCCCCTTCTCTTTCCCCCTTCTCTTTCCCCCCTTCTCTTTCCCCCTTCTTTCCCCTTCTCTTTTCCCCCTTCTCTTTCCCCTTCTCTTCCCCTTCTCTTTCTGCTTCTCTTTTCCCCCTTCTCTTTCCCCTTCTCTTTTACACTTCTCTTTCCCCCTTCTCTTTCCCCCTTCTCTTTCCCCCTTCTCTTTCCCCTCTCCATTTCCAGTCCTATTCTAACCCATCCTATCTAAAGGGAAATAGCATTTATCATAACCCCGTACCCAAGAGCACCCTTGAAGCCGTGTCCCTGCCTGCCTGAGGAGCAGCCCATGGATCCCAGGCTCTTTCCTCCCCTAGAACACGCTTTCCTCAGGAAGTGGCTGCTGCTCTCGGACCCAGAGGACTTCTCTGCGGGGGCCAAGGGCTACCTCAAGGTCAGCCTCTTCGTGCTGGGGCCTGGAGACGAAGCTCCGGTGAGTCCTGAGCACCCACCGCGATGGAGGTGATTCCAGCTGTGGAACTCCACCATCCTGCTCCATCCAACCCCGGCCTGCTCCCAGCTGTGGTCTCCCTCCATTGTGGTGCTGGATGGTGGCCGTTGCCCCCCGTTTTGGGACTCTTGGGGACCTTGGTTGCGTTTTCCTCTTGCCCCGCAGCTGGAGAAGAAAGAGGTCTCTGAAGACAAGGAGGACATCGAGGGCAACCTCCTGCGCCCCACCGGGGTCACCCTGCGAGGGGCCCACTTCTGCCTCAAGATCTTCAAGGCTGAGGATTTGCCCCAGAGTAAGAGAATCCCCCCTTGGCTGGAGCATCCCAGCTCCGGCCCTTTTCCTTGCAGCGGGTTGCAATGTGCTGGAGAGGAATGAGGGCACAGATACATAACCTTATCCATGGCCTTGGTCTAAAGACCTGGTAGATACCAGTCTGTAACATACTGGGGGGTGACTCTCATGGAATCCCAGACTGGTTTGGGTTGAAGGGACCTTAAAGCTCCTCCAGCTCCAAACCCAACCCCTTCCACTGGAGCAGCTTGCTCCAAGCCCCTGTGTCCAACCTGGCCTTGAGCACTGCCAGGGATGGGGCAGCCACAGCTTCTCTGGGCACCCTGTGCCAGCGCCTCAGCACCCTCACAGGGAAGAGCTTCTGCCTAAGAGCTCAGCTCAGTCTCCCCTTGGGCAGGTTCAAGCCATTCCCCTTGGCCTGGCCCTACAGGCCCTTGTCCCAAGCCCCTCTCCAGCTTTCCTGCAGCCCCTTTAGGCACTGGAGCTGCTCTAAGGTCTCCCCAGAGCCCTCCCTTTTACTGGTGCACACTGGGTTTGCCCACCTGGCTCAATGGAGCAGCACAGTCCCTGGTGGGACACCCTGCCTGGAAAGCCGGGACCATCGGGATCCCATGCGCTCCCATCAGCTTTCAGCATCTCCTTTCCCCCCAGTGGATGATGCTGTCATGGACAACGTCAGGCAGATCTTTGGCTTCGAGAGCAACAAGAAGAACCTGGTGGATCCCTTTGTGGAAGTCAGCTTTGCAGGCAAGACGGTGAGTGGCTGCAGTGGGGCTGGGATGGCAGCTTTCCATAGGGGAACTTGGTCTTGGCATGGGGAAGTTCGGATCATTTGCTTTGCTGATGTCCCCAGCCCTGTCCCCATGTCTGTGTCATGCTTGGAGCCGAGCGGTGGCACTGGACAGGGTGTGCTGGGCTGTGTTGGGGTCATTTCTTCACTGGGCTCATAGTGGTGCTGCTGCATTAAGGATGGGGATGGAGGAGCTGAGGGTTCTGCTGCTGCTTGGTGCTGTCTGAAGTGAGTGAAGGACTGGTCCCATGCCACCAAATGTGTCCCGATGACCAGCCAGGGTGTGGAGGTGGCTCTGGTGGCTTTGTAGAGCCCCATCCCCGTCCTTTGCTGCTGTGTCCTTCACTAAGCAACACGTCCATGAGCCACTGCTTGCCTTTTGAGCATCACTGAAAGTCTCCTCTGCCCAAAGGTCTTCCCCTGGGGACAGTGCCTGGGGATGGACAGAGCCTTGGGACGTTGTCCTGAGCAACCACAGCGGGAAGGGTGTGAGTTCCAGTGGTCCCAAGGTGGGGAAGTTCCTTGAGCATCCCACAGCATCCTCTGCCTCGTGCACAGCGGGGTTTACCCACGCCATGAACAGCCCCCTTAGGGATTGAATGGAGCTGATGTTTTGGGGCACTGGGGACATTCCAGGTCCTGGCACGCACACATCCATGACCTTCCATCCCCATCTCCACCTCCAGCTCTACTCAAGGATCCTGGAGAAGAACGCCAACCCGCAGTGGAACCAGTGCCTGACACTGCCGGCAATGGTGAGCACGGGGGTCCCTATGGTTCCTACCCCCCGGCCCCACCACTGCTCACTGCTCCTCTCCCTCTTTTCCCAGTTCCCTTCCATGTGTGAGAAGATGAGGATCCGGGTGACCGACTGGTGAGTGGGGTTCGGAAAACTGAGCTGGAGGAGTGGGGTGGGCAATGGGAGACCCCATGGGCACCCCTCCTGGTCCATGGTGCGATGGCATCACCGGTTGCGTTGCAGGGACCGTCTGACGCACAACGATGTCATCGGCACTGCCCACCTCTGCATGTCCAAGATCTCGGCCCCTGGCGGGGAGCTGGAGGGTAAGGGGGGGGGCAGAAGGATGGGATTTGGATGCATGAGCACTGCATGCTCATGGCTGGTGATGTTGGCTTGGAGGACATCCCAATGGAATGGTCCCTGCCCTGTTACTGGTGATGGGTGCTGGGGGTTGCTGCTGTGTTGTCTGCATCACCTGGTCCCTCCTGGTTTGTGGTTCTGGAGATGTTCAGGTCCTCACAGTGGTGCTGGGAGGGGAGGCTGCAGGACCACGGTGTGAGGGGGGTTTTGCTTCCTCTTTGCTTTGAGGTGTGAATGGGGCCACGCTCCCCTGTGCGGCTGTGACAAGCACTGGAGTCACCAGTGCCAGAGATCACAGAATCACAGCTGGGTTGGGAAAG